TTTTGATATTGTACGTTGTCAAATATATGTATAACACGTAATAATTCATTAGTTTAGATAGAGTAGCGAAAATTACATGTATAGGATTTTTATTGAAATTTTGTTAATTGTAATTGTAAAGCGCATAGAGTTCAATTTTAATGCGCTATATAAGAACTTATTATTAAATTAAATTAAATTCTTAACACTTCTATGTTCAGATCCAGCCGGCATTAAGTTTGCTTTTTGATTATTCTGCTGAGCGATTTTAAAAAGACGGACCAAAAATGAGACATGGAAAAATCAGCGTTGAGAGAGACTGGGAGGCGTACGCGTGTCTGCGTGCTCTCTCGTTCCCAGACTTCGGTTTAACCGGCTTAACTCGTTTGAAGATCGACTAACGAGGCTCGGCAAGCGCAACCAGTTTTAGCGTATGTTTGAAGAATTTCACGCCAATACCTCCCATTTATTGGGAAACCAGGTGCAACCTTTCAACTTTCGTCCCGTAAATGATATGAGTGATGCGATGCAAATTTCATCGAGAAAGATCATGCGATCAGCGCAAAAAAGATGTAAGCCCGCTAGCAACTTTGGGGGTGAAAGTCACATGGTTGCCTGTCTCTCTAAATAGATTTTTTCTGCTATAGATTTTGTTTTACAGGAAAAAAAATAAATGTTTGAATTTGCACTGGGTTTGACTGATGAATTCCCAAACTCGCCGACAAAATCCTCTGCTAGGTCACAGGTTGTGAAGCTACAAATTTCTTGGTAATTCGATAAGCAGCTTCTTAAAACAGTTTTGGTCAGATTCATGTGCCTGGCTCCCTAATGGAAATACGATATTTTGCGCTAAATTTAGGGCACTGGTTTAGAAAAACATGGAAGCAATTTGAATTAGAATTTCGAGAACATTTCCATGTTGAATGGCTGAGTAATGGCCCATTTTATCTGATTTTGATAATATGAAATTAATCTTTTTATCTTTAAGTAGGCGCCGTGCGGTCTCGATGTTTGTGGGGTCGTGAGCTGAAGACAATGCACACTTCAGATGAAAAATTACCCAAGTTGGCTATTGAAATCATAGGGTTTTCATTTTGCTCTCTGTAAAAAATAGAGCTCGCTTAAAAATACGCAGAACTTCGTAAAACCGACCAGCTTATCTTTAAGATCGAAGGTTTAAAGTCATTTCTTTAGTCAAAGGAATTGCTGGATTTTTAGCCGTGCTAGAAAGTTTAATTTTATGGAATTTCCGGAAATTGATATAAGTACCAAAACCGCCATCTTTCGTTTAAACGTAGGGTGTTAAAGAGGATTTTAAAATTTGGAAGTTTCCACACGGCCGACCGAAAAGGAACTCAGATATGTGTCAGCGGCCGCGGGGCAAACGCTTTGAAAAAGCTTACCGTTGAAAACTAGTAATGGCTTTTAAAAGTGAATTTATGAGCAAACGAACTTGTTTCTTTTTTACGCAACGACAGCAAAATGCTTTCCAACAAACCAAAGTTTAAAGGTAGACTTACGAAAGGTTTGAAACTTGGGAAACGTCAATCTGGCAATTGAAACCAATAGAACGCGCAAGACGAAAAGATTCGGGAAATTTTGAGATGAAACGTAAAACCACTTGTCGTCAACCTCAAACGTTCAATCGGATAAAAATTAAACTCTCTATAAAGAACTAACAGCTTTTTTTTTTGCCGTAAAAAGGTCTCTCATTGGATCTATTACGACGTAAGGGTCGTAGTATGCTTCTTACATTCAGTAAGTTAAACGGAGCGAAATAGCAAACTGCGCAATAGTAGCAGAAGCGTAAAATAATGAGGGAGACTGGGTCAGGTCAGATTTATTACGCGACCCACCCCAAGTCTCTCTCTTTTTTCACTCGTTTACTATCGATCTTCGTTTTATAAACTGAATGCCTGCACAGGCCACAATGGGTCGAAATAATGGAAATACTCTCTTGCAGTCAAAAACGGCGAAGATTCAAGGAAGATGTCTTAAAATCTCTCAATTAAAACAATACTCTCGGCTTAGAATCTTTTTTCGTCGAGTTTTTATTGGAAAGTAAATGAATCCGGGGTGAGTTCATCCAGCAGGCGAGCAAAAGTGTTGAAACCAGGGGTAGACCACGGTGCGATAACTAGTGTACTTCTCGTGTTTTCTCAAAACCTCAAATACCGGATGTAGGTTTTGGACCACCTTAAAAGACATTTCATTTGTTTGAAAATCTTCCGGTCTGGAAAATGATAATAGTCAGACGACTACATTCCAAATAACATTTTCGGAATTTTTGGTTTATCGTAAACAACGAATATTTCCCCTACTTCGTTTTTTTTTCTGGTTTCAGCTTCAAGAATGTTGTCTTATGGTAAACAAGTTTTGCGGTGGGGCAGCGATAGGGAAGCTCTGGGTGGGGGGGAGGGGATGGGAGATGAGAGGGATTTGTCGTGGGAGGAGGGGACTGCCCTAACTTTTGATCAGTTTCTTTAGATATGCAGTAAATGGCTTAGATCTTTAGATATCTATGGAATGGTACGGTTAGCGTTGCGTGACGGTCCAGAGAGGATTACCCAGAATGCTATGGGACGGATATCTCCATGAGCTAAGCCATTTATGGGGAAAGAAGATGAGGGGGTGGGGGTTGGGGGAAGAGAATGTGCTCTTAGAGATAAGGTTAGGTGACTCCGGATAGAGTTCTTCCGCACCAATTTTTTTTTTTTTTAATGAATGGTCAACGTCTTTCAGTAAATTAGCTGTGAAAATAGCCACTGATACTTTACGGACATCAGTTCATTAAAGACAACATCCAGTTACAAGACAAACATCTTTCTTTTCTCCGACAAGTCGTGACTTTCGCCTGAAAAGCAAGGTTATTGTAACGCGAGTCGAACCCAAAACAGAAGAAAGCGCAGAAATATTCTGAACGACGGGTAGTGTTCTATTTGTTCGTCGCCCGCGATTTTGAGAGATAGAAATTCGAATAATTAGGTCCAAATTCTTTCTCAATGAAGGATTTTTGTCAATTACTGAAGAATCTGCCACATGCACATATTTCAAAATAGACCGTGTGTTAATTATGAAATCTCCTGTCATTTAACATTTCTCAGGCTGAAATATTCCTCACTTATCCGGAAGATGTTTTGTCTTGTAACTCTTGGTTCGTCAGAGTTTTTGCTCTCGTCTGCCGCGAACCCAGCGGGTTTCTTACGGGATCACTTCGGGATCTTCTGGATCCGACCACCGAAGAATCATAACATTGAAATTAATTATTTCACGAATAATGAAAAACAGTATGATCAATATTTTATCCACTATATCAAGAAAAAATATGATCAGTAATTAGTGTTCTCTCTATTACGATGGCCAACCACAATTTTTTTTTTCATTATCACAGGCAAGGCTTCCCATCATCTCCGTTTTCGATGTAAAGGGTCAATTATTAGTTGATAATAGTTGATTGAGTTTATCTATAGTCCCTTTTTAATTTCCTCAGTTTTAAAATCTTTTTCTTTTTGTGTGCAACCTCGCACGAGCCGTGAGAGGAATGGGACAGAGCATTTTCCCCCTGCGTCGCAAATGTTTGGGCTTCGTGTTTGGGCTTCGTGTTGTACGTACTAGCGATTGGCGAACAAAATCTGGTAATATTAATCATGGCCTAACTGATCGTGTAAATTAGGAAAAAAATCGATATGTGTGCCAAAAAAAAAAAAAAAAAACTCATAACAAAGAGAAGAGTGGTTTAAAGTTTCCCCTTTACTGATAAGTTTCTTGTAACCTTTAATTCTTAGACACACCCACAGTTACGAGAGTATTAAAAAAACAGCATGGTGCAAGCTGCAATTCTTTTGGTATTTTGAGAACTGTTTACAGTGTACAAGGCAAACTCCAATCAAAATATTAACACAAATAACAGAAAACTTCTGCAAAATTTCATCAGGCTGTAAATGGACGGCTCGGTCGACGCCAGGAAGTCTGTGCTTTATTATTTGAGTGACATAAGAGTCGATATACCCGGTGGCCTTTTCCACGAAAGTTAATAAGGGCCTGATAAAATTTTTACGTCTAAAAGGGCCAAAAAGGTAACACATTTGAAGTCTAGCGGGCGCCATATACCAAAACACAAATCACCAATTATCTGGAGATCAAAGCCCGGGATCAAAGTGATGCCATCGAAAACCTTTTCGGAGCGGATATTGACCTGTAATACATGTTAAACTCACTAAGAACATGGATGCCTGCATGTGGCTCTTGGACATCGAAGGTCTCTAGAGACGATGTAAAATCATCTTGGAGCGATTATCTAAATGTCAAACCTCGCGTATAGAAAATGGCTGACGTTAATTGATAGCCCCGGAAATTGTTGCATTCGAGGCAGAAATGGTAGCGGTGTAATGCACGTGACTCCGATTATGCCACACGAGAAAGGAAGAATTCTGTCCAATGTTGTCTTCTCTTTCCGTCAAATTTTCTTAACTTAGTGAAAATAATCGAATATCATGAAATGCTCGTCTAAGTCCATCGCGCGAGATTTTTGCCGCAGGAAAAGCCCCTGATGAAAATGTGCAAACCGCCACTCGAGATTTGAAAATTCTGTGGTATGAAAACATTCCTTTATGTTCTCTATTACAAGGTCCTTTTCTTCTTTTCACTTCATAAGTTCTGGATTAGCGTTCGTGAACGCGAGTTATTTTGAGAGACAACTTTTGCCGGACTCCTTTATAAGAAAACCTTTTAGTTGCATTGTTGTTCTGTGATTTGGACGGTCAGAGATGAAAAAGATAGTAAGTAATGTGTGTCTTGGCCTTCATGTGTGGTCTTCGGCCGCCTAATGCAGGAACTACTTGTAGCATAGACGCTTTTGACCAATCAGCGGCGTGCGTTGGTGACGTTAGACAAGTGTGGTGTTGCGGAGATTAGTTTTCATGCAGGAGTGACAGTACCATTGGGCTGGTTGTAAAAGTGCCAGCAGAGGTTTAAGCCATCCTTCAGGAATATGCACATGTCCAGTTATTACAGGTTTTTTTTTTGTATTTCTGTGATAGGTCAACATTCCCCAACATGAAGTGGAAAAGTTTGAATCCCAGTAAAACAGTGGAACAAATAGAACAGTTTTTGCCTTTACCAGTGTATGAGAAGCTGATGGGATTGCTGAATGAGGTATGAACCAAGACTCTTCTGTATTTTATTCCTATTTTTTTTTTTCTCTATTTCTTTAGTTGTCTTAAGAAGGCCAACCTGCCTCAATACCTCTTACTCTGAATGCAGGGATTTCAATTTATTTCTTTTTGTGAGTTTGTGTCAATAAATAAAGTTGTTTTTTTGTTGATATTGTTGTTTAGGCTGGAATATCTAGTGGTTATATGGACAAACCTTGCCTTGATCCAACTGATGCAGAGTGTCCTGATTCAGCACCAAATTACAGGAAGAAGGTAGAAAAACTGAATACAAGTAGTTTTTTTTTTTTTTGTAAAAGACCAAGTACTGGTGCATGCAGTCAAACCTTTTTCAATTTTGTTATTAGATCAAAATTGCACCTAACTTATTTCTTGTTGGAAACTTTTTACTTCAATATGTAAGAACCTTGAAAAGGTTTGCTCTGAGTCTTGAATGGTGAAAAGTATTAAAATTCGCAAGCTAACTATCTGTGTGTGGAAAGGCACAGAAAGGAAAGATGCAGTCTTGGGTAGATTAGAGATTAATTATGGGTTCTTCTCAGCCACAACAATTGCTTGATGGAGTATTTGCAAGGATATTGCATTGACAAAAATCACCTTGGCCAAAAAAATAGACTGGTCAAGGAAAGTTCAATTTTGGGGCAAACCCTTAGCAACTCTTCTCAGATTAGGTGGTTTGAATTGTGACCTTTAAAATGAATTGTAAGAACTAAAAGTAATGGTGTGGGAAAATGAAAAAATATTATTAAACTTTTAACTTGAAAAAGAGGGTGGATAACTCAGCTGTGTATTTTATGCTATATGTAGGAACCTGATATAGGTGTAGAGGTGACTGATGGCTGCCAGGGATTTGCAACAAAGTATCTGGATTGGCCTGAAGAGCTCATTGTGGGGGGAATAAAGAAAAATAGTTCTGGAACTATAAGAAGGTAATAGTTTTAAAGGGGGAAAAAAAACATTTATTCAGTGAGCAGTGATATATAAAGACATTATTACATGACAGATCTAATGTTTGGTATTATAGCTTCATAATTCAATTGAGGGGTGTCTTGAGAAAGACTGTTGCTTGTTACAGCAACTTTTTTTGTAGAGTACGATTGTAAGTCATCATCAGTGTTAATGAAGATTCATTGGCCTGGGGAGTGTTTGAATCTTTACACCCCTAACATCAGTATGCATATTCCCTCAACTGTTCTATACATTTCCTGAGGTGCTGACGAGATGAAATTTTTTAAAATTATTTTTTACAGTTTTTTTATTATTTTTTTTAATATAAACTAATGAGCAGCACCTCTGTGAATAGTAGTCATGAAACTTCTTTATTTTCTTTTAGCTAAAAATGTGGCCCTCAGAATATTTTTCTGACCTTGCCTTGCACGTTTAAAAGTTTTCACAACTTTACCTATTCTTGTTTGTAAGTCTGCCCAAGCCTCTATGGTCGTTGGCTCCTGTAGTATCCACTAACTTTGGCTTATAAGTACAGACATTTAGTTATACTTGTAAAACTCCCTGAAGAAGTCTACGACAGTTAGACAAAATGCATTGGAGAATAAAGAAGTTTTACATCTACTGTTCATAGAAGTGCTGCTCACTAGTTTATGTTTAAAAAATAATTTAAAAATTGTAAAAATCAAGAGCTTCTTTAGTTTGAGATCATTCCCTTTATTCTCTTAATTTGATCGTTTCATTGGTTAGCTCAATTGGTTAGAGCGCCAGATTGTGTTGTGCGGGAGGTCAAGGGTTCGAGCCCTGGCCGGACCAATACTCATGGTCTTAAAATAAGCGAGGAGAATTTGCTACCTTTTTATAATCAAGAAATGGATAGATATTCTAGTCTTCTTGGATAAGGACGAATAAACCATAGGCCCCTTCTGCAGGGTTAGGGGTAGGAGACATTAATTTCCCATGCACGAGATTACTGTGTGGTGGATGTCCTTCCCTGGGTGGGATGGGTGGTTGTTGGCCCTGAAAAGCCCCTATGGGGAGTGGTCAATTAACCTATGTATGTATGTATGTATATTGTAAGGAGAAATTGGATGATGGTCACCTTTAGGGGTTACAAGGTCCTTTAGGGGTTACAGGGTCAAAGTTTGGTTCATGAAGACGGGTCAGTCAGTTTACTGACATTATTGGATTTAATACTCAAGTAGATTGCTTTCTGTGGATTACAATTTGATTTTAAGTTCCCATTAGTTTTCAGCTACTGGTAGCTGATGACAACAATACAGACGAATATGAGAATGATGAGGTTGTAGTAGTGATGCTGATCCAAATAACAATTTGAATTATTTCCGTTCTAGTGCTGAGGCATTGCAGACCATCATTTTGTTGATGGGTAAGCAACAAATGTACACTCAATGGCATGGACGAGCAAAAGTCCAGCACTTGGAACCCCAGTGGTCGGAAGATGAAGCTTTCCAAGTTTTGGAAGCATGGAAGCGCGAGTTTACAAAGGTAGAGAGAACTACAACTCTTATATCCAAAGGTGAAAGCAAAGCTTGTACTCTAGCTGCATGGCCATTATGGCACTGAAGCTTATCCCAGTCTCCAAAGCATGAAGTGGGAGTACTGGTCATCTCCCTCCAGCTTTCCCTGGCAGGGGAGGGGTACCCATGTACAGCCATGCTGGGTGAAGATGGATACTGCGAGGGTAAAGCTCCTGCCCAAGAACACAAAACAGTGACCCAGCGTCATCTCATTTTGACCCTCCAAACCTGTCATCCATATGTCACTGCAGTGTCTTCCACAACTTAAGTATTTTTTTTGTCATTTTAATATGTTGATCTAACCTGTTTTGCTTTTCTGTATCACAGACAGTTTTTTTAACTCTTATAGACAGTCAACACAGTTGATCAAAGCCGAAAAGAATCCACCGTCCTTGCTTTCTCCTCCACTTCATTTAATGATCTTCTGAAGGACTTTTCTCAGACAAGCTACTCCAAAGTTGCAATTGGTTATGTTCTTATGGTAAGATAATGAAATTGTTAGACGAGTTCTTAGGTAATTGCCTTAAAGTCAAGTGTGGGAATGGACTCTGCTGGCTGAAGGGTGGAAGGATGGAACGTAGACAGTTTGAAAAGAATGGCTTAGAAATCAAATATTTAAACATTTGAAATCCCAAGAGGAAACATCATGGAGCAAACTTAAAAAATATTGTAAAGACCACAATACTTTACAACCCTCCTCCACGTTTTTTGTCCATGTGCTTCAATAATACTTTTAAGTTTGGGC